ATTATAAATAATTTATTTAGTGCTATAAATATACATAATACTTTATCATAAACTCAGAATAAGATATTACTCTTTTTCCAAAAACCTTCCAGTATTGAACTTGGGAAAGCTGTGGGATGAGGGGAGGAAGTGGCAGGGAGGGATAATTGCTTAGGAAAGGAAATACTTGGGGCAATCTCTGTTTTGTAGGCTGAAAGAATTATGTTTAAAAGAAAAAGAGTTTGGATGGGAAAGATGTTTATGCTTTAAATAATATTTTCATGTTTGTTTTGTGTATATATAAACATATTTTTATTGAAATATGTAGTATATTTTTTCTAGTATTAAGTTTTCTCTTTAGGAAATGCTCAATGATTGTTTCAATTACTTCCAAATTTCTCTGGTAAGAATTTGTTAAGCCTATAGGGGGCATATATGTTCTTGCCAAAAACAGGGCTGTATTACCTGCCCTGGATGTCAGAAAGTAATGAAACTAAAGACTGCTGAGTCTGGACTCTGTTACATTGTTATGTTTTTCTAATAAGTTGCTCAAACTGTGATTCTAAAAGAGTAGTGAAAAAGTAGACAGCTTTTCACAGATCACTCTTCTATCTCTTCCTCTTTAAATACTGATATAAGTAGAGCAAGTGAATGGTAAAATAGTTACAAGTGTAAAATCTGGGTAATCAATTAAATGAATACGGCCTAGGAAGAGGGGAATAATTTATTTATATTCTTGCTCCGTATTTCATTTGGCCGAGTCAGTGTATTCTAGTGTCTGCTGACTTCAGTTAACCAAATTAAAAAATCTAATTTAAGTCCTTAATGACTCATATTTACAGTGTGCAGAGTAGATATTGTAGATATGTATGTTTGTACACTATGCGGTATTTATGGATAGTCACTAATGTAGAGAAGAAATATAGAAATCACTATTTTTCCCTTGCTTGTAACTTTCAGAAAAAAAAAAAATCTTTTTACAACTGAAATTTTTTCTCATTGCTCTGACTAAAAGTTGAATCGACTATATTTTAAAATTGGTTCTTGAGTACTTATGAGGAAGAAAACTATTCACTTTTTCCTAATGTGTTCACCAGGTGTTTTTCACATAATTTTAAAACGGCTGAGTTTGGAAAGCTCTTTCTTAACTTGGAACAAGTGTCCAGTGAAGTGTCAGGTCTACTGTACAGTTACGCAGTTTGAAAATGTATCCACTGAAGTATCCACTGAAGTGTTAGGTCTACTGTACAGTTACGCAGTTTGAAAATGCTTGCCTTTTTTGTTCATAGATCCTGTCCAGTGAAGTCCAGGACATTTCTTGCACTGTTGGGTCCTTACAGGAGAGATTAGTTCCTAAACAATCTTATTGTTGGGCCAGTTCCTTTAATCTCTTAAAGCTGTTGATTTGTAAAGTTGTTGCATCAGCCAGTACCATGTTTGGAATGGTCCCTTTGGAATGACCTCTCTTTTTTCTGCTTTGGGTTTACCCGAATAGGGCTTGTTTATAGAAACTTTTGTCCAGTATTCTTGAAATATAGTCAAGGTAAGTCCACCTTCTGATCTGTAGTCTTTGCAGGGTTGTGGGTGATAACACTACCTCTAAGATTTCAACATTATTCTCTGTTGATTTTGTTCTAAATATTTGCTTCAGACATCCACAGTGGAAGATGTTTTATTTTTGTGTAATCTTCTTGTTGCACTTCAGTGAATTCTATCTATTGTTATTTAATTTAACAATATTGCCAAGTGCAAAACTCTAATTAAGTGGAAAGAAAAAAACACAGTGTGGTGTTCTTGAAAGCTGCAGTTGAAGGCATGGGAAACTCTTTTCAGAGTAGCTGTGCACAATTTCCCTGGGATTCTTAATTTTTTTTTTTTTTTTTTGCTCAGTGTCTTTAATTAAGGTTCCTTTTTGCATTCTTCCGACATGCATTCCTTCTGTTGTCACGGACTGAGGAATCAGAGCAGAATGCTCAAGTTCTTTTTTTGATCCTTCAAACATTTTATTCTGGCCTGCAGCTTTATAGGTTTTTAAGGTATTGATTTTTTTGCTTTGAATTCCACAATAATTTTTCCATTTTGTCTGTGTTGTCAAAACAATTTTTTTTGCAATGAAAATTCATTTAGCTTATTTTTTTTTTCTTGAAGTTTGTAAGACTATTTTGCACTTTCCATTGTCATCATCTTTACTGGATAAAGCTGTGAATCCATCTGTCCTTTTGACTATTGATGATTTGGAGGCATTTCAAGGTTGCTTCAGGGACTGCCAGAAAGTCTTACAGGTTCCTCTGAAGGTGGTACAAGAAAAGGCATTTTAAGTTTCTGATGTTGTCAGCCAGCCTCACAAAGCCAAGCCATCTTGCCAATAAGTGAGGGAATCTTGGACACTACTAGTGACTTTTGGAGTACTCAGACTGCTGCTTCATTTAATGTGAAATGCATGGATTTGTAAAGTTCCATCTAAAAATTTTGAATATTTTTATATTTCACCTGCATTCGCCTCTTCCTTTATAACTGTAGCTAGGAAAAGCTCCAGAGTCTCTACAAAGTAGACTAATGAATAAAGAACCAAGGAGGATAGATCTCTTTGGAAGAAGAACCTGGTCTGGCTACTATTCTTCCAGTTTAGGATAATGAACTATCAGGCTTTGTGAATATATGCATTGACGTAAGACAATAGCCTTTAATCAGCTTCCAAGATATTTTGAAGAGCAATTTAAGTCTGTCTTGTCTGAAAGAACAACTATTTGGAGAATAAACGAAAATATTTATCCACAGTCCAAGCTGGAAGCAAGTGAACAAGGGAGTTAGACTGTAAAGTACGTGGGAATCTGAGGAAATCAAAAAGAAGAAGAAATGGGAGTCACCAAGACAGAATCAGACAAACATGTAATTATCAGGAGGTGATTGGTACAAAAGGCTGATGCACAAAGGCTTTTTTGAAAGAATCTAATTATTCTTTAGATAAAACACTATAGACTCTAATTGCCCATAATACATAAGAAACTTTACTATTTTGTCTCCTTCTGCCTTCTCTCAATTGAACGCATTTTGGAGACATCACGATTCTTTCTGAAGTCAGGAGTCTGTTGCTGCATTCCTTTTTGTTAGAGTAAAAACAAAACAACTCCAAATTGCAGCCTAGACTAAATATCAGTGTTAAGGGATGTTATAAGATTAGCTGCTGCCTCTGGCAGGCTCCAGGACCCAGGGATCTCTCCAATCCAGGGCTATCCATGCAGCTGCTACTTTCATGTTCAGAAGTTCAACCAATAGTGAGGCGAAGTGTGTATTTTACACACACACACACACACACACACACACATGCACGCACACATGCACGCACACATGCATACACTGAAGACACTGATATGGCCAGCTCCACAGACTGCCACAGATGAAGTGCTGCCAGAATACTACCAGAACTAATATAACACTTGAACACAGATAGTCAAATCCCCATCCTCCTCTCCAGCTAACGTCATGGTTGATGTTTGCTAGTGAAAGGACACTCTCACTCTCTGTATTCACAAGCACATGCACATTCATGGATCTCTTGGACATCAGTACAGGCCTGCTGCCTATATAATATCCCTACCCGGATTCTGGGCCTCCTGCTTTCCAGCTAGTCCAGCTTGAAGTTTGCTAGCAAATTACACCCTCCAACACTCCAGGTTAGGGCAAAAATATAAATGCTTTGCCTCTCTTCTGCCCCTCTTCTCCCCCTCTCAGTAGGTGTCTCCCAGGCACCTGGGCCCTATGACCCATGGACCTAACTCCAGCTGCTGACGCTGAGACCTTCACTCAGTACATCACTCACCCTGGCCCTCACAGTAGGTGGCAGGTGGAACACATTGGCCCTGTGACCCCCGGTCCCACTCCAGTGGCTGACCCTGAGACCCTCAGCCCCTCCAGTTGCTGATATGGAACTCCCACTTACTACAGTTGCTGGCACCACAGACACAAGGGCCTTTTCACCTGAGGTCTGACTCAGTTCCTGGCCTGAGTTCACTCATTCTAACCTCTCCAGTTGCTGGCAGCTAGTCCTCACAGCACTTACACATGGGGTGGAGAGTGAGATTACATGGAAAGATAGGATTTAATAAAAGGGTAGGATAAACTGTGCTGATCAGGCACAGGGCTTAGTCAGATAAGCGTACTGACCAGCCACTGCTTGCACATGACTGGCCCTTTTATACCCCTCTTCTCTATTCCCCTCTTTATTCTTTCCCAATCGCTTTACCCCAGAACCTTCCTTAGTAAGTTTTACGTAGTCCCACAGGCACCCCTTGAATATCCAAAATCCTCAAGTTCATCTTGTTTCCCCCTTCTTATCAATTGAAAAGTCCAGGTTGGCCTTCTCCAAAACTATGCCTTATTTTCCTGATGGCCCGTAAATTAGTGACTGGAGATTGGTCTTTATCATTGTCTCTGTTATCCCTTGTCTATCAGCTTTGTGTATCTATGTGGTTTGTTTATTGCTTTCCCTGTTACTTATGACTCCTCTTGAACTGAAAAGGTCCTTGATCTGATACCCTAAATGAAGCAGATGCTCTCATATTCCACGTAGTCTTATAACCAGATGCTTCAATATGTTCTTTTGTCAT